AATGTTCCACTGTACTGTCAGTGTTTAATAAAATATTCTGTTTCATACACCAAACCGGTGTCCGTTGATATTATATTACATGGTGTCAGAAGAAACTCGAACTCGGAATGGCAACTCTTCCGTTCGATCAGCCCAGGTTTGATTGGCAAGCCGGAGATCTGTACCAGGAATTTTGTCGGTTCAAGCAACACGTGGGTTTCATCTTCAAAGGGCCACCAGCGAAATCCGATGCAAAACATAAGGCAGGATGGATCGGCATGTGGATTGGACAAGAAGGTAGGGAAGTGTACAAGACTTTTGTGTTTGAAAATGACGATGAAGACGACCCAAAGAAAATTCTGGAGAAATTAGAAAACTATGTTCGCCCCAAGAAAAACAAGCGAATGGCAAGATTCAGACTTCACCAAAGAACACAAAAAGAGGCCGAAACTTTTGATAACTTTGTTAAGGATCTCAAAATCTTAGCTATGGACTGTGATTACGCTGATAATAATGATGTTCTGATTGACTTAATCATTAGTGGCGTCTGGCATAAGAAAGTGCAAGAGAGACTGTTAGAACAAGGTCAGGATATCACACTCAAGAAAGCTATAGAAATTGGACAACAGTTTGAACTGTCACAAGCACAAGTTAAATTAATGAGAGGAGAGGAAGTGTTGAAAATTGACTCGCATTCACAAAAGAAACACACAACCAAATTCAATGTGTCGCGCAACAAAACTGTAAAAACTGGAAAACCAAAAGCCTATAAACCAAGTGACAACCCAAATTTTTCAAGTTGCGGTTTGGAACACGAACATGGAAAGTGCCCAGCACTAGGAACCATTTGTAGTTACTGTAAACAACGAAACCACTGGAAGAAAGTGTGTCGTCGACGTTTGAAACAGATTAAAGTCAGCACGGTACAGCGAGATACAGAGTCAGAGGAAGAGGAACTACTTACCATTAGTATGTGTACTTCCGTCAAGTCCAGTCAGGATGACAACTGGGACGTTCGTCTTGTTATCAAAGGTCAGCAGGTTCGCTGCAGGATAGACACAGGAGCACGGACTAATATACTCACATCTGCTCAAATTAGAAACTTGGGAGGATGCACACTGGAGAGTTCCAACAAGACTCTTAAGTCATTCAGCAACCATAAGATCAACCCAATAGGATCAGTTACTCTTCCAGTTGTTTACCGTGATCGTAAAACTAACGTTCACTTTGAAGTGGTCGACTTGGATCAAAAGAATATCATTAGTGGTGATACTGCAGTTACTCTTGGGTTGATATACAAAACCGACCCCCATCTGCAGACTTCGATATCAGCTGTGACTGAGACTACAGAAAGTGCACAAAGTGAACTATCCAGAGACTATCCAGAACTCGTAGAAACTACAGGAACTCTACCCGGAAAATACCATCTCAGTATAGACGAATCTGTACCTGCAGTTATTCATCCCGTAAGGAAACTCCCAGCAGCAATTAAGCCCAGGGCAGTCGACAAGCTGGGAGAGATGGAAGCTAATGGATACATCACGAGAGTGGACAGGTCAACAGAGTGGGTCAGCTCAATGGTAGTGAGTGTAAAGAGAGAAAAGATACGCATCTGCATAGATCCAAGGGATTTAAATCGCGCCATAAAACGTGAGCATCACCCTATGAAAACTATTGACGACGTCATATCAGACATACCGAAAGCCAACATATTCTCAAAATCTGGATTTTTGCAGATTCAGCTCGACGAGAAGTCATCTTACCTGACAACATTTAACACACCAATAGGAAGATATCGTTGGCTCCGACTACCCTTCGGCATAAAGTCAGCACCAGAAATTTATCAGAAGATCATGGACAACATGATATCCGGAATCAAAGGTGCGTCTGCAATCATAGATAGCATCCTCATCGCAGGTGAAACACTCGAGTAACATGATGCCATACTTAGAAAAGTTGTGGAACGGGCAACAGACTACAATCTGAAATTGAACTTTGAAAAATGCAAAATTCGTAAGTCTAGTGTGCCATACATGGGCCATATAGTGTCGGACCAGGGACTCAAACCAGACCCAGACAAAATCAAGGCTATACTTAACATGCCACCTCCACATGACAAGGAAGGTGTCCGCAGGTTCCTTGGACTTATACCGTACTTGTCGAAAATCATTCCAAACTTGAGTGATTTGGATGCTCCCCTAAGAATCCTTCTCAAGTCTGATGTGGAATTCCAATGGAACCATGAACAGGACGAAAGTTTCCAGAAACTTAAGGACGTGTGTACCAAGCCACCAGTATTAGCTCTATTTGACGTGAATAAACCGGTCGAGATCGAGTGCGATTCAAGTAAAGATGGACTTGGAGCAGTCTTGATACAGGAAGGCCGTGCAGTAGCTTATGATTCTAGAGCTCTTACAGAAACAGAGAAACGGTATGCACAAATTGAGAAGGAAATGCAAGCTATAGTGTATAGTTGTCAGAAATTTCACAACTACATTTTTGGCAAGGAAGTCACAGTGTACAGTGATCATAAGCCATTAGAGACTTTGTTTAACAAACCCTTACTGTCAGCTCCTATGAGGATTCAAAAGATGATGATAAAACTACAGTGGTACGACATCAATGTCAAATACAGGAAGGGAACTATGATGTACATTTCAGACACGCTATCACGGGCCTACCTAGAGGAAAGCGGTGAAGAGGACACAGAGAAAGCGGACATGATCTGTATGTTATCCATTTCACCCGAGAAATACACCGAAATCTAGAGATCAACCAAAAGTGAACTTCAAACTCTCATAAGCACCATTCAAACAGGATGGCCAGACACAAAGAACGAATCTCCTTTTAAAGGTCAGACAGTACTTCGACTCAAGGGATCAGTTATCCGTTCTTGACAGCATTGTGTACAAGGGAAGTCGAATAGTCATCCCACCGAGCTTGCGGAAAGAGATGCTTAACCTTATACACAAGTCTCACCTTGGGATAGTCAAGTCAAAGAGTTGCGCCAGAGAGGTCATGTATTGGCCAGCCATGAATGCTGACATAGAACAGGCCGTAAGCAACTGTCCATCTTGTGCAGAGTATCAGAAACAGCAAAACAGAGAGCCTCTAATGCCAACACCAACTCCAGATCTACCATACACTCATGTGGGAACTGATGTATTTGAATTCAGAGGCAAGAAATACCTGATTCTGGTGGACTACTACTCAAAATACATTGATGCCGTAGAACTCAGATCAGAGACAACTACAGCCATAATAGAAGCCATGAAAACAATTCCATGGACTTCCAGGAAAACTCAGGTCTGACAATGGACCACAATTCAGCTCAGCTAACTTCAAAACCTTTTGCGCAGAGCTTGGAATTGAACACGAAAGAAGCAGCCCTCATTTTCAAAGCTCGAATGGCGAGGCTGAGAGAGCAGTACAAACTATAAAGAACCTATGGACAAAGTGTGAAGACAAGCAACTTGCTCTGCTAGATTACAGAACAACACCTCTAGAAAACATTAATCTGTCACCAGCTCAACTATTAATGGGACGCAGACCTAGGAACACGCTTCCAGCATCACAAGATCTACTTAAACCAGCAACACACGACCTAAGTAAAGTACAGCAACACCTTAATGTCCAGAAAGCCAAGCAGAAATTTTACTATGACGGGAGAAGAAATGTGAAGGAGTTATTACCCCTAGACAACGGAACAACAGTCAGAATGGAAACGCCTGGTTCAAAGTCCTTATCCCCAGGAATTGTCGTAGATAAAACAGACAAACCAAGATCTTATGTAGTGAAAAGCAAAGGAAGACTTTATCGCAGAAATCGGGTTCACCTCCACAAATCAAGCGAACACCCTCTGGACGAACCGGTTGAGCAGGACATTCCCATGGACGAGAGCAGTCCCAATGAGCCTACCATAGAAAATGCTGCTATACCTCAAGTCAGCGACAAACCCGCCAATCACAAAAACGCACACCAGACCAGATCGGGACGACTCGTTAAACCTCCGTAGAAACTTGACTTGTGAAGTGCTTGTAAATAATTCTGTTAGTACATTTTGATTTAAGTTGCATCTAGTCAGCAGTTTGCAATGTGCTTAGGGGCATAATTATCCCCATGCAGCTGCCAGAACAAAAGTTCTGCTATGTTTGTTAGTGTTCTTATTTGATTTGTTTTTTATTGAGTGTTTGAAACAAAATCAAAATTTTTGCCATGAACTATTGAACGCCTTTCAATTTTAAAACAGTATCTGTATGTTAAATAGAAAAAAAATCTGTCTTTAATTTTAGTGAGGGGGATGTAATGTACATTAGTATGTTTATGTTCGACTTATCTAATAACGGAAGTTGGGGTTATCTGCCCTTGCCATCTCTGTAAAAATTACCCGCCATGTCAGATGTCTCCATGTTTCCCTGTACTGTCAGTGTTTAATAAAATATTCTGTTTCATACATGTCCGTTGATATTATATTGTTTTCCATGCTAAAATTTACAAACTTTGCTTAATGAAGCCTTTTATTAACCTGTAACACATCGGCCTAAACCGTTGTTCATAGAGACGTACATGTAGGTGCTATCGTGTCGATAAAGCATGGCTTCTTTCACAGTTTCTTTCACGTAATATACGTATACATAGTTTTAGACAGCAGGATAAGATGCACAATTATTATTTAACCCCTAAATATCAAAATGTTTTTAATGCAAACATTAAAGCATTTGCACGATATTCGAAGCATCTATTAATAATCTAAAACAACCCCAATATAAAATTTGAGCATGGAGCAATGTCTTTGGAATATAATCTTTTCATTTCGGACTTATAAAAAGATAAAAAAAAAACTCCATGTTTTTTTTCGCTGACAGAGTAAATATTATGTGTTAAACCGACGAAAACCATTGAATCGAAAACACGTACAAGACTGTCATGCTTTGAGACTCATTCACTTAATTGGAGAACCGGTGTGACGAAAACATTGTCACGTGTTAAAAGAGGTAGTAAAGTAATACAGGGAAGTTTATTCTCCTGCTGAAGTAAGAGTACGCAATGTGATAAAGGATTCTTGGGGAACATATCGTCTTGATTCCCGAAATGAATCCGATTGTGTGGACGTTAGTTGTCTGTGTTATGATGTACGGACTTGTGACTGAGGCGTGTCCTAGTGGCTGTAGCTGTGAGAGGAGTGACCCCTGTAATGGGACATATGTAGACTGTTTTGATAAAGGGTTAACTGAAGTACCTACCAACATCCCCTCAGATACATGTGGATTGTAAGTAACTGTTTCAAAGCAGAATAAAAGATGTAGATGTATTCTTGTACATCACTTTTAAATTATCTTTTATATTCAAAGTGATTTTTATTTATAATAGCCATAATTTTTATCTAACATGATGATTATAATGTGATAAAAATCTTGAAATATGAAACAAATGTAAAAGATATCTTTAATATGAGTTTAGATTATTTTAACATAATGATATTATTGTGTTTGAAAACTTGAAATAAAATATAAATAATAAAATTATTTTTAATATTACATTAATGTGAACGTTTATAAGGCATTAATATCAGTTTGCATATGTTCAGGTACATAAGCAATAAAGATACATAAATGTTAATTGCTCTTTCATGTGATATTAATAATTAAGATTATGAAAATCTGCCAAGAGCTTATAGAGTCGTGTACAATTATTTTCTGATGTACTGTTACTGATAGCCGTTCCAGAATATTAAAATAATGTAAATGTTTACTCATATACACTGTAGTCATGTATTGTGTGTTTTTTTTAAATCATGCTTGAACCAATTATAAACTTAAAACCTTAGCAACATTCCAATGATAAATTTCTGATAGCTAATAAATTAAAAGCATTGGATTAGAATCATAATGATTGCGATCATTATTTCGAATACAATAATCAATTCTTCTTGCACAAACTTGAATACATCAGAGGTGAGATCTAGTATAATGGAGGTGTTAAAACATTTAACCCATCGTTTTGTTCAAAAATATGTCAACGCATAATACATTCTTGAAAAATTCAAAACTATTTTTTTTTAAATTTTATTATATTGAAAATTAACATTTTTTTTATTCTTGAAGAGGCCCCTCTCCAGTCATCCACATTTTCCTTTATCTTAAGTCAAATTATAGTATGATGATTGAGCCTCCAGTTCTATATCGAATTGACCAATATATTAAGACGTCTCCTTTTACGAATCTCATTAATTCACTAAACAAAACAAATTATGTAAAGGGCATTACACTTAACTCTGGGAAATTTATAGGTGGAATCAGGTGCCACGTAGGAGTCAGCATTCCGACTTGACAAATCAGAAACGCCATGAACCCTAGCTATTGGTCAGTAATGACTGTTATGAGCATATCTAACTTTTCTAAATTGTGCAGTTTATATTTAAAAGAAAATGTTTAATATATTTGAATTTTTTATTGTACATTTTCTAGAAATTTTGCAGGAAAAAAAATCACCACGTTAAAGATAATGTCTTTGACAGTTTAATGAGTTTTGAGATACTAAAAGTATATGTTTAAAGAGTCATATATATGATAGCAATAATGTGTTCACAGAAGGGCATGTCTTAAATCCCTATGTAACAGAATACATGTATATTAGATAAAACAATAGATACCTACAATGCAGTTTTCTTATTGTCGCTCTTGCGGCACAGTTATTAGAATCGCAAAGAAAAGATTTTACCCTTACTTCGGGGGTTCGAATCCAACTGGTGAACATGGAGACCGGTTCTTGGGATAAGCCCGTGGAAAACAAGATCTATGTCGCAGAAGGCGCTTGGAATGGCTGTAGTTGCCGAGCATTGACAAAATTTTCAGCCGTCTACCGGCAAGCGGTGTTGTCAACATATATATGTAAATGTCTGCAGTGAGACCTTAAGGATGCTTATTACAAAACTTTTTGATGACGTACTACACAAAAAAAATAAACCTCCATTGTTTCGACCGTTTTCTTCAGGGGACGAATTGTACAGGCACCTCTATAATATATCAATGACCTTTAAATATAGATGAAACATGTGGTGTTTTAAACAGTGAAAACAAAGTAACAGATTCATTATGCCCTAACCAAGTAGGAATGGTTTTAAGCAGAAACAATAGAAAACAACAGCAAATCTTCGCAAAACAAGTAATGTGCAATTTCATAGCGAAGCAGTGAGCTCTTTTAATCAATGACATGTTTGTATGGAGGAATCTACAACCCTGTTGAAATCAGTATAGTTATTTACCTGCACTATTTACTGTGTTGGTGATTATTTATATGCTTGCTTTATAGATTCAAATATATACTCTAGAAGATCAAAGCTTTGGTCTGAATTTTAGATGAAATGTTCAAACGTCCCGTAGACTGGCGTAGTGTTTTGAGCCTTGGGTAATAAGGAAAGATAACTCTTGAAAGTTGACTTTTTATACCAAATATTTTTTAAATTGGAATTTTTATTTTGCTAAAACATTCTTCATTCAATTCATTCTTCATTCAATTTGTCACTTGCAATTCATTGAAATACATTCCTAGTTTCACCAGAACCCATTTTCTTAATAGTTTATTCACAGATTAAAAAGATAAAGACATTAATTGTTTTTAAGAGAGAACTTTTCTTTCTGTTAAAATTAATATTAAGTATTATGAACTATTTTCATTTTGTATACATGAATAAAGAAGATGTCCATCATTTGACACAAAAAAGTTATGAAATTCTGATGATAATAACTTTAAATAAAACATTATATTAAAATTATATTAAAATTAGAAAAAAAAGTTTTAAAAAATATTTATGATATTAATACCTCCTTCAAGATATTTGACATCTACATTATAAGTGATGCTGTAATGAAATCTAAGATAAACTGTGGATGTAATGAGCCACCTAAAACAACATACATGCAAATAAACAAACAATGGTTGACTCAACTTGCTTGTTTGTTTAGACGGTGTTAAACAACTGCTTGCACACCTTAACAGATATCTCATGCATTAATGATCTACATCATTAGTTCATTGTATATTATAAAATCATGGGTTAATAATGTCTAGAGAAAGTTGTAAATATATTTTCCTTCTAATGCATATCTTTAGATATAAAACACATAGATTAAAACATGTTTGTATGATCTGAATTATGGCCTAGCCATTTACCAAATGTGAAATCCACGTTCAGTGAAACTGATTTTATTATTGAGTCATGCGTATCGAATACTCAGCCAATTACCAACATTATAGATATTTTTATGCGTATAGAAAAACAAAATCGAAAACAAAATTTAATTATTTAATATAGAATTATGGTTTCTTTTGATGGTGAATAGGGTTTTTATGTCACGGGATTTGATAAATATGACATCAAAGGCTTCCTAAGGATTACATTTCCAGTAAACAAACGGATCCAGATTACGACTTAAACTTCCGCGTTTTGCTTTTTGTGTGTAAGACATCGAAATAATAAAAACATAATCTTGCATGAGTACTGATCCTCCAATGAATACTTCCTGAAATATGATGAATATGTAGTCACTGTGTAGTGAATTGTTTGCGCTTGTTTATATTATATAGGGACTATAAATAGACTATATAATAATGATCATTGTTTAATTGTACTACAAGTTTATAGTTAAAATACTACAGGAATCTCAGAATATAAATCATATAATAATCCCTAATTTACGGAATAATTTTCAGATATCTTGGATTGAATCAGATAACTACACTGAGGAACAACGTCTTCAACGGTTTGTCAAATCTAAAGACACTGTAAGTATTTCGAAAAATAATAATGAGAGTATGTTCTAAAACATAACATATCATATATAATATAATGGCATAGGGGAAAATTCAATGCTCTTACCAAGAATTACACAAATAAAAATGAGCTTGAAAGTCGACTTTAATTTCTTTTATCGAAATTAGAATTGATATTTGTCTTCTGAAATAACACCAGTATCTTTCAATCTCGGTTTAAAGAACATTCATCTTTAAATCCGAATTTGAACAATTTCATTTAAAATTTAACTAAACGAAACCTAAAGAGACAGTATAAATAAATTTGACAGAAAAAAAATACAGAATCATTATACATGCTGTATAGTAAAGTTGTATATAACCAGACCAAAGAATATTTTGTTTTGTATCATTTGGTTCTATTACATTCATGAAAGAAACAAAACATTATAACATCTTGCTTTAATCCCTTGGCGAAGTACCAATACACAAAAATCATTGCTGTTTTTTTAACAGTGAGAATTTAAGACTCACAATTGAATCCAGTTAAGAAAACAATCGTGTTCAGGGGGCAAAACAGTACTCTGAATGCATTGGAGGTGAAATCAAGGGCCTAAGAGATGTAAAATTCCCTTCCTGAATAATCTAATCTGCCTAAGCCCTATACATCTATTAGTAAATGCCGATCTGATCATTATTGAATTTTCTGTATGATAAGGGTAAGGGCCATATTGGAAGGCTATGTGCTGTTAACGATAATTTTATGAACATTTTCCAGGCATCTGGATAAGATGATGAAACATAGGGAGATAACGAACAGTATTCAAAATGAAAAGTCCATAAAACAATATCAATTAGGAGCAGAGCAAACACGGACCTCCGAAACACCGGAGGTGGGATCTGGGGCAAGAAGAATAAAATCACCAAACTGGAATATATATAATGCCATCGACAATTTGTCATGTTTACGTGCATTGTAAGTAAATTAAGAGTATTAAATATGAATAGCAACCATGCGTTCATCTAAGGACATGTCATGTGCGAAAAGGAAGTGATGTTATTTAATTTGTAATTCATGTTTAATGCTCTCTTGGTTTATTGATTTGTACTTTTGAGACGGAGGGTGTGATGGGTGGGGACTCCGCTTTGCAGTTCCCTTGTTAACACATCCCTATACCTTTTTTTTAAAAACCTCGTGACACTTTATTTTATAATATGTATGGTTAAGCGTAATCGTACAAATATTTTAAAACAAGATGACATTTTTGAAAATCGACTATTACAAATGGGGGAAAAGCAAGTAAATTATTTGAAAAAAACTTAAATCATCATATTATAGTTAAACCAATACTGTACTAGAAGCTGAATTCACTATAGAGTGTACATTATCATTTTGGTAATAGTACTTAAAAATAAGGACACAGGCTGCATTATTATAAAATAAAATTGCGATCTTCAGTTTCTTATATAAAATGGTGTACGATATTTTTTTCATATTATAATGAAACTAATGGAGATAACGGTCAGTATTCATGATCAACAGTCCATAAATCAATTCAAAATAGGAGCAAAGCAAAAATGAGACTGAAAAATGCTTTCTGATCTATTTGAATACAGTAAAACACGTTTAGTACGAACACGGATATAGCGAATTCAGGGATATAACGAAGTTTCTCTGGGTCCCCGGCAAAATTCTTAAGAAATCTTTTTAAAATTTTACGGTTATAACGAACTCTGATATAGCGAATTTACAGATATAGCGAACTGATTTTGTGTCTCGTTGAGGTTAAATATAATGAATTTTATATCTTTTATAACGAACTTTCAAAGATTTCAAAATTTGTATAATGGAACTGACTTTATTTTCTCTCAGCATTTGTATATAAAATTTAGTTCATAATAAAACCTTAGTTATCGAAGGTTTGTTTTGTAATATTTGCTTCCCTAACATGTTTGATAGTAACACTTGAAGGAAAACATGAATATTGCGAATTCGCTATATATAGTTATACGAATTGGTTATACGGATATAACGAATTACGGATACAGCGAATTTAATTCACAGGTATCCAGAACTTCGCTATAACCGTGTTTTATTGTAATAGATTAAAAATATTAATCATATAATCCTTGGTGTTTTTGAGTAAAAACAATGATTTATAAAGCGATTGGAGGAGTATTTTAAGAATTCACCACACTTGATAAAGTTCAGGGCTTTGCAGTCCCATCCAATGCTTTGCAAATAAATTTTTATTCATCTGAAGGGGGGGGGGGGGGTCCAATGCAGATGAAATAATTATTTTCTGATTATTTAATCACTTTAAGAGTTTTAATTTATGAATTATTATTTACATATTTTGAATACTTGTAATTTTTAATAATCGGTAGAAATTAAATACTGTTTCTTGTGATATTTACCGTTGAGTACAATAAGATGCCTAAATTCTTGTAAGTGAAAACAATCTGAAAAAAAATGTATGTAATGGTTTCAAACTCACTTTATAACTTTGTTCAAATTTTTATGATCAAATTCATTTTGATGGAATAAATTAAATGTCTGTAAAAAAAAATACTTTGTATACTTTGTATCATTAATGAAACAAAAACACTTTGTTTATTTCAAAAATCTCTTTTAGGTGGCTAGATGGCAACGAGATATCCAATATTAAGACCAATGCCTTTAATTTTTTGTCAAATTTACAGACACTGTAAGTATATAAATCCATCTCCTTATGGTACCTTGATCAATTATCTGTTGATTTTATAGAGTCATGTCTTATCTGCTCATAATTAAGGTCTTCTGTTTCCAACGGAAGACCATAATGTTTCCGTTCGGTTTTTTTTCCCTATTATAATTAAGGTCTTCCGGCTTCAGCAGAAGTCCTTGTTATTGTAAGGTTTCTTTTCCACTATTTTTATTTTTAGGGTCTTTCGTCTCCAACGGAAGACCCTTCTGTTATTCTACTGCTTCTTTTTCACTTTTATCAGGGTCTTCCGTCTTCAGCGGAAAACACTTCTATTATTGTTCAGTTTCCTTTTCTTCTTATTATTTTTTCACCGATATCTCAGTAACGATTCGGTGGATCTTTATGAAACTTTCGGAGATGAAAGGGAACAGTATTGACTCAATCCTTATTTTCATTATTTCTAATTTTACTTCCAGTCGTGAAATATGACGTAGTTGCTTCAATTTTCGTCCGTCCTACCCAGAGAACACTATGCAAAATAGAGATTTGAAATTTTCAAGAATGATTTAATGTGAACTTAACATTTGTAGCTGACTTTTGAAATTTTAAGAATGTGTTTAAATGTTTCAAATTTTAAAGTTAATTTTTTCCCAAAAAAAATTTCAGCATTTTTAACCTTTTTTATGTTATGAAGTAGACCTTTGCGAGCACTTTCCAATACAATACAATAATAAACAAAATATAAGCTCAGGTGTATTAGGACACTTGAGTGCAAATGTACTCTTAGAACTTTTCTTTTAAAAATCTCTCTTTTATTTGTTCACCGACTTCAATTTTTTTACACCAATAAATAGATCTTTTCATGACCTTTCCAACGGTATATTTCTTTTTATTGTACGTATAATAATGACAAAACTATGAGCTTAGGTAATTTAGCCTTACATTTTGAAGGGACATGTCAAATTCATTATCAAGGACCCATGCATATGACGGTACTCTTTAAATCTCTTTGATCTTCGGTGGATATCTTTTGATATATGTAAAACGTCCTATCCCGTTCATTTCTTGACCGATTTTAAAACTGTTTAGATCATCAACTAGTTCTTTCTGAGAGCTTTCCAACAGTATATTTTTCTGGATTGTAATTGCACTAATCAAGAAACTATGAGGTCAGGTATTTTAGCATTTTGTTTTGACAGAACATGTCAAAATCACTAGCAAGGACGCTTGCGCTTAGTACAGATGGTGTACTCTTCGATCTTTGGCCTGCATGGGTTTGTTAAGGCAGCAAACGGATCAGAAATCGGCTAATTAACACTTTTTTTAATAATATGTACGAATATGTAACAATAATAAATTGGAAAATTCATGGATAAAACTTTTGCTATCATTACACTTCAGTAGGACTTATACTACAAGGAAGCACTTCACCACGACGTCACCACGTGACGTCTATAATTAGAAAATATGCTTTAATGAAAAAGTGAAAAGTTCAACACTACCCCGGAGATAATTAATTTCAATTTGTAATTATAGTTATGTAAAAACATCTCTGTACCATGAAAAGTGCTGCTAGAATCCTACTGTCTTATCACAGAAATAATTATTCAACACTTTCGGACGAAACCTTCTCAATTTTTTTTTTTTTTTTTTTTTTTTTTTTACAATTTGTTTATAAAATCGAAAAAATGCATCAATTTCCGTAAACCATATGATTCTAGCAGCGTTTTCCAAAAACAATAGAATAAGAACTTTAGGTAGAAAAAAAATTTAGTTTCAAAGTATGCAACGTAGTGTTGAACCTTTGCATCGTTTTTGATACAAACGACAGAGGAAAGGCTGATCGGCAAGTAAACGCCCCGTGTGCTTTTATTTTACGAAGAAATTGTAGAATTATATTAGCATACCTTATTCATAGCCTTTATTCCCACATGAATCATACATGAAATTCATTCTAAATGCTTTTAAACTACGATTTCTTGTGTTTGTTTACATCAATTCTCGTTACTTTTCATCTCCACTCTGCAACTGCATGATCAACAGTTATGACGTCACGGGTTTGGTATTTAACCTCTGTGATAACTACAGAGACCTAGAAACGACAAAATTCTGTTTATATTATGCCTCTGCATATTCTGATTCATTTATACGACTTAAAATCAATCTTAGATATCGATTTTAAGAAATTGTTATCTCTAAACTTCACGTCATATAGCTCATTATGACGTCATATCATATAGGAAAGTAGAATATTTCGATGTAAATTTAACATACCTGCGTGTATCCTTTGATTTAAAAAAAAAATAATAGAACGGTGTAATTGAAAATTCTCGAAGGTCAAAAAGAGTGAAAGTTTACGGTGCCGCTGGAGGGCCAGGTAAAAAATATTTTTATTTGTTCGGACAAATAAGTAAATTTGTTCGGACGAATTAGATATTCGTTCGGACAAATTAGAAATTCGTTCGGACGAATTAGAAATTTGTTCGGAAAAATAAGTTATTTGTTCAGACAAATAAGTTATTTGTTTGGAGAAATTAGAAATTCGTTCGGACGAATTAGTTATTTGTTCGAACGTATAAGAAATTCGTTCGGACGAATTAGTTATTTGTTTGGACGAAAAAGAACTTCGTTGGGGCAAATAAGTTATTTGTTCGGAAGAATTAGATATTTGTACGGACAAATTAGATGTTCGCACAAATTATCTTGTATAGAGACTAAATCTGTATTTTAAAAGATCGATAACAGCATATTTTGTGTTTTGAAATCTCTCAAAGTCAAATAGAGTGAAATTTAATCGATCCAAATTTTCAAAAATTTCAATTGCTTCCATATGTCACAACAAAGACTGTTCTGGTATTTTGAATGATCGGGGACATCACACAGTGTGTTTTGATATTATTAAAATGTCAAATAGAGAAAGATTAAGATTAAAAAAAAAAAATAAATTGCCTCAAATGTATAAAACAAACACTATCTATGTATTTTACATATATCATACTACGTGTTCTAAAAACTTTCAAAGGTCAAAAACAGTGAAATTTAAGCGATTTAAATTTTTTTTAAAGAATTAAATTACTTTTAAATGTAAATTAAAGCACGGTATGTATTTTGTCAGATAGAGAACAGCATACACTTTGTTTTGAAATCTTTACGAGGTCAAATACATAAAGAATGTGATTGAGATTGAAACGATTTAATTTTTTTAAAATAATTGAATAGCTTCCAAATGTAAAATTAAGTACTATATTTGTATTTTGACTTATGGAAAACATCATATGAGCCGTTCCAAGCAAAAACCCCCCTTATGTCAAAAATTATCGAAAATGACTTTTTTCTTGAAAAATGATGTAGAACCTTAGGTGAATAAAACCTGTAAATATTACAGGTGTATCTTGCTCCGTTACAGATTTACAGGTATTCAAAGTTTGCATCATTTATACGGTTGACGTCATATTTTATAAATTTTCATTTGAAGCGACGTCGACGTTATAGCGACGTAATAAAACATGAATTACTTTTACGCAATAAGAAGGTATTATATTGTCATTATGACAAATATATATAATTATATGCTTAATTTGTTGTTAACATTTTTTTCTTCTTTTTTATGAAAAGTTCTGTTCATTCTTTTCTGATATTAATTAAAAATATTTCAATGGAGTTCAAATAGTCCTATGATTCGCTGACTTAGAGAAAATATTAATTAAATTAATAGGTCTTTTATAAAGAAAAATTCACTTTTAATTTTACCGCTTAGGTTCAGACCAAATCTTTCAAAACCAGCAACAACAACAAAATATTTAAGTTCCCATTAATTCATTTTTGAAAATTGATTTTACTTGTCAACCTTTGCCTTCAAAACACTGACCAATAGACAGTATTAAGGGGCAGGGGATTGTGCTTTTATTAATGAACACGACATAAGGATTTTGTAAAGTACATGTATGATATATCAATGTAAATGATGAGTAACATTTATCCCTTTTTTCTAAATGCTCAATTACATATTTGTATTTTCTTTGTTTAATTATGTCCTCATATTTAAAAAAAAAAAATATTAGAAGGAAAGAGGGAAGAGTGGGGGGTGCTCTAAAAGAATAAATATATACGTACTTGTATAAAGGCAATTCACACAAAATATATGCATGTTAAACTGTAATTTATGAATAGTTAAAGTGTACTTTCTCAGATTTCAAATTATGAAATAACTAATAAAAACATGACCTGAAAAACTGTGAAAATGGGTAAGGCATATGATTCAGCTTTTAAAAAAATTGTATATTTTCTACAGTACAATTACGAACATGCAATTAATATATAGAAGATTGCCAAACATACAGCCCCATCTATATCTAACAACAAAATTATGAGGGTCGTCGGATTCTGAAAATTGTGCTTTACGCATAGATCTGTGAAAGTTAGACATATACTTTCTCAATATTTAAGTCAGTTATGCGATCCGATCTGAAGTTTAAAAAAACATACATGTCACAGTTTAAAAAAACACAACAGGTTGTTATGAGGCAAATTTCACAGGTCAACACTTACATATCATGAAGGTCCACTGAAAAAGTACCAGTTAGTCAAAAGCAAAAAATATTTTAAAGACAAGAAAAACATGTAAGTCAGGGGCCTATTTAGAGAAGCTTTTAAAGTCCACGAATCATATAGACACAAATGTACAACATTTGATTACCGTCTTCATAAAAATAAACAAAAAAAATCATAAAAAAAATTAATAGAAAAGAGAACATGTTTTACGTGCGAAATTTGCACATTGGACTGTCTTTCGAATAAAATGCTTCTAACCTATTTTACACACATACAAAAAACTTCCATTGTGTGCAGAAGGGAGAGGAATGCTGGCCATTATCTGTCACTTCATTAACATCAAATATTCGAACATCTGACCATCCTTACCAACTTACAAGGAGTCCACGTGTTCTGAAAGTTGGGGGGGGGGGAGTTGAGTAGGTTACTTGTTAGTCTTCTAGTTAAATTAACATGGAGACTGGTCCTTC